TATTAAAACATGTTAATCTAAATTTTAATAGGTATTTGGAATGGGCTAAAAAACAAACTAGTAAAGCTTGCTTATATGGTATTCCGTCATATATTATAGGTACAAGTCAAACTTGTTATAATGAAGTAGTCCGTTCCATAGTAAAAATTTTTAAAATTTTTATTATATTGAGAGGTTATTAGTAAATTTACTATATTGAGAGAATTTTTATATAGACTGGTTTTGAATTTATCTTCACTATACTATAATAAGAGTTTATTATAATGAGAGTGACTTGTATCCATTTACACTTTTCAAATTTAATTCTAGTAATTATTTCAATATGCTCTAAAACTTTATGAATATTTGCTAAAGAATTTGAATTAACAGGAATTAGATCAGGAATATATAAATCCAGAATTATGTTTTGATTTGCTATAGTTAGGCTAACTTTAGGTTCTTGTTAGTTAATAATAGAATTTGTTAGTTTATAAGGTTTGAATATTATAGATTTACTTTTATTTTTATATAATGTTGTTTGTTAAATTGATACAATTTAATTTATTGAAGCAAGTATTGGCAATTTAGTATTGCAATTAGGGTAATTTCATTTTTTATTATCAATCTCTGATTTAAAATGTTTTAAACATTTTTTTGTTTTATTAGTTAAATTATTTTGTTTTTCAATAAGCTGATCAATTTCATTTGTTTTTTGATATTTTTTAGCATTTAAATTATTTATTTCTTCATTAATAAAACAATGAAGTTTTTTTTCAAGTTTTTTATTTATATTGCTGCTTAAATAAAATAATTGTGTTATATCATTTTTACTTAATGAATTATATTGCCAAGGATTAACTTCTAATTGGCTATTGTTTTTCAGATTAAAATTTAGAGCTATAAAACTAGTTACTATATGATATATTACAGTATTATTTTCTTGGTCAAGATAATTTTTTTGGCCTTTTTGTTCATTATCAAAGACTAATATTAAAAATCTATTGGGCAAAGATTTAGATTCAATCATTAAACTTTCAACCCAATTTGTAAATTTTATATAACTGCCTCTACTAGTTATATAATTATTAATATCTATTATAAGCTTTGATTAGGCAATAGAATATTTAATTGCTATGTAGCAAGATTTATTTCTGAAACATATTTACTATATCGTGATTTATAAATTGCATCTATAGCAACTGTTCATTTAAAAATTTTATTTTGATTTATTTGTTTATCATCAGTATCTGTAATTATTTCAATAAATTTAATGACTACAGGATTGCAATATTTAAGCCAATTAGATGGATTATATGCTAGTAAATTTTCAAGTAAAAATCAATTATAATCATTAATTAAATAAATAATATCATCATATAAAAGCCTCTGTTCTAATAAAGCAATCTTGGCAATTTCTGTTATGTGTATTTGTTAAGTATTATATTGCTCATTCCACTGTTCTTTTAAATATATATTTTCAGCTATTAATATATTTTTTTCATTTGTTAATACTTTAACTTGATTTTGATATAAATTTAAATCTTTTAATTGAAAATTAAGATCAACAATTTATTTTTTAAGAGATTCGCATTCACATTCTAGTTTTAAAATTTTATTTGAATAGTTTGTAATTGCTAGGCATGATCAGTTACAATATTAGCTAAAGAATTTTTTAATACATCGATTTGTATTAAAAGATCATAATCACTATCTATTATTACTTGAATTCCAACATCAATATTTGTTATTTGATCTTTATTTAAAATAGAATTATTATTATCTAAAAAATTTTTGGAATTACAACTTCTTTTTTGAGGATAATCTGATAATCCATTCTTTAAATAATCCAAATAATTATCCTTCACAACAATTTGATTATAATGTTTTCACAAATTATATATTTTTCTAACTTATTTTAAAGATTATTTAATTGAGAAAAATAAGAACTAGATATTTTAATCCAATTTTTAATAAGATTAGTAGATATATTTC